GGGGTGCAGACGCCCCCCCGAGCCCGCCCCTGACCGTGCTCACGGAGGAGGCCTCTGGGCTGTGCCTGTAGAAGGTCTCCTTGAAGGAGCCCAGCCAGGTCTCAGCGATGCGCGCCTTGTCCTGCAGAATGGCCTCCCGCTCGAGGGAGGAGTCCGCGTCCTGGCTTCGGTAGACGTGCCCCACTCGAGAGCAGGGGAGGATTTCAACGGAGCCGCCACAGAGCCAGGCCTGCCAGGGAGGAGGAGGGTGACCCCTCTGCATCCCACCTCCAGGCACCACAGAGCCAGGCCTGCCAGGGAGGAGGAGGGCGACCCCTCTGCATCCCACCTCCAGCAACGATGGGAAATCCACGGAAATGGTGGGTTATGACGGCCCTCGGCTTCAGTAGTTTCCAAATACGGGTTTCTGGGCAGGGCATGGCAAGGTGGGAAGACCTTGGGGAGCTGTCCCAGCTTGGACTTCAAGGGGTGGCACGCAGCTACCTAAATGTGCTCTCCTTAAAACGCAGGCTCAGAGCAGCACTCAGAGAAAAGAAGCCGAGTGCGCCAGCCCCTTCTCCCCACAGACTTGCTCCCGTAGGGGGAAAAATGTCCCTACCGGCCGGGGAATTTCTAAAGACTTGTGAGGTCTCCTGCTGCAGAGGCTCCAGACGCCGGCAACGGTGCAGCGGGACGCGAGCGCCCCTTAAACGTAGTCTTACTGCTGTAGGGAGGGCCTCCCCACTCCCAAGTGCCTTTTGCGTCACACTTGAGGGTAAAGATCAAAATGGAAGTCACCCTACAACAGCTGGCCCGAGGCTCCCAGGCTGTGTGCCCAGGTGCTTCAGGGAACTCGGGGCAGGTGGGTTCGATTTTTGTGAGAGCCATAGCCTCATCTGCTGGGCCTTCGGCCAGTTACGGTCTGGAGGTAATTCATGCTTTCTATCCTAGATCCCTGCCCTGCTGGGGATGGATGTCTTAGCTGCGGTCGGTTTTTGGAGGTGGCTGTGATAGAAAGTAGTGTCGCGCAATAATCAATGTGGAGCAGGAAGTGGACGTGGTGGGTCCAGTCTGAGTCCCAGTTTGGAGAAGGTGTGTGATCCCGACAGGGACTAAGCTGTTAGAGACACTGGTTCAAACCACTGAGTACAGACAGCTGCTCTGGTTTTGCTTTGGCTTGTGGACATTGTAAAAAATTACTAAGATGCTGTAGATGCTATGGACAGAGAGTGCACAGAACCTCTGGAATTTCTTTTTAAATTGTTTTACTTTGCCAAAGAATGCTAGTGCTCACCAGAGAGAGACAGAGAGACAGAGAGCAGGGAGAAGACACTCCCCAAGGGGGGCATGTGGTGTAACAGTCTTCTCTCCTCCATTTCTGCATCCTGAAGGATTTTAGGCACACACGCACACACGCACCCAAGCCATGGAGTTCAAGATTCAAACCACGTGATTGGCCATGTGGGTCCAGCTCCTTTAACCAATAGGCTACAGGGCTAGCCCAACTTTTGGAATTTCTGCTTTAGGGCTAAGTAATGGAGAGTCACCACACATGGTCCTGACAGCATATTTTGAGAGTCAATTTCATGAGAGAGGCTGAGAATGAAATCAAGGTAGGGCATGAGAGAGGGGAAAGAGGAGGCAGTGGGAGGTGTACATGCTATGTTGTAATGACTTCATGATTTGCCCACTGCCTCATTCCTGGCCAGTGACATTTCTTTCCTTCTTCTCCTCCTCCTCCTTCAGAATTATTTAATTAATTTTATTTATCAGTATTTTTTAATTTGCTACAAGGCATGTGTACTCATCAAAGAGAGAGAGAGAAAGCGACAAGGCAAGCCACCATGTCTAGGACTTAAATTGTGGTCAACTATGTGGAAGTCCAACACCTCAACCATCACACCATCTGCTGGCCCCAGCCAGTGACATTTCTAATAGCTCCCTCCAAGCTGCAACCTTACACACCAATCTAGAGACCCCCACCCATATCCTCCCCTAGTCCAGGACATACCTTGAAAGAGAGTTCGAGGTTTTCGCCACCCTGCTGTGACAGGAGAGGATCATATGCTCCAGTGTTTTGGAAGTAATGTCTGTCCACAGCCACTACCTGTCCAGGTACTACAGGGCTTCTGGATGGAAAGACAGGAAGAGATTGCAGTTCAGAACCTAGAGCCTGCAGGAAAGGCTGTGGGCTGGGGGCTTCCTGGGGTGGAGAGAGTGGATTCTGAATTCAGGTAGACCTCGGTGTATCTAATGGCATGACTGGAGAAAGTCAATGACGCCAGGGAAGTTATCTTCTAAAAAGAGTTACCGTTGCTGGCCTTTTATACCCTGCCTTTATATCCTGTCCTATAGAGAGAGCCTGGGGAACGTGCCCAAGGCTCCCAACCCTCTGGCTTGAGTCCCTCTAGAGAGGTGTTTGGGAAGAAGGCATTGGTAAGAAAGATATGGTGAGGGAGGTGGCACGGCCTGGACAGAGGAGAGGTCAGGCTCTCTTCTCTCCTTCCTTGCAGCCCTACTCACCCTCTTCTGTTTTCTCAATGACTGTCTACCTCCTCCCCAATCCTCTAGAAGCAGGGATATCCCCACCTGCCCTGGAGGAAATGCACATGACTTATAAATACAGGAAGCTACCAACCCTGAGGAAGGGAATGAGGATGACAATACTATCCCTTGGGAGGGTTTTTAAACAGAAAAAGGTATAGACAGACACTTTCAAGCAAGTGTCCTTCTATTCAGGTGCAATTTTTAATGTAGCTAAACTCTGGGTATATCTTAAGATGTATATCTTAATAACTCAGAGTTCAGATTTTTTTAATTACCAAGAAAGTAGTATTATATGAATAAAACTGCTCTCCTTTATATTGCTAAAAACATTTTGTTATACTAGAATTGAAAAAAAAAGTATTGTATTAAAAAGTTCATAACAACAAAATTTCCAACCGTGCCGCCATTTGTAAGGTCCTGGATGAGATAATAACCTCTCTGAGCCCAGTTGCCCCACTTCTAACTGGAGATAACCATATGCTCCATAATAGGGAGGGGACTCAAAAACAAAACACAAGTCATGTAAAGTGCCATAGCACAGCACTGGGCACATTTTACACGTTTACTACATTTTAGGGTTGCAGGTTCACTGTTCCTTCTCTGAAACCTGTGGGGCCAGTGTGTGAGTGTGTGTGTGTATGTGTGTGTGTGTGTGTGTGTGTGTTTAGGTTTTTACCATAGGGCACATAGGCTCACCAGAGCGAGATAGAGAGAAAGCAAGAAATCACCCCACGGGGGGGGATGGCCACGCCACAATTCCTTCTCCTCCATTCTCCTCTCAGGATTTTGGGCACACACGCACACACACCTGGTGTGATTTTCAAGTCACCAGGTCTGGGGATCAAACAACAGTCTACTATATGGGAGTCCAGCACCTTAACCACTGTGTCACCTGCTGGCCCCACCAGTGTATTTTTTAATTCAGATTTTTTTCTTATCTTTATGACGTGGATACACGTTATTATATTGGGTTGTTGAGAAAGTTATTATACATATTTTGCATAGAAAAATACATCATGACTTTCCAGATGACCTAATATATTACATATAAGCCCTAGTGGGATTTAGGCAAGCACTTGTTAGTCAAATATGCTCCTATTTCTTCAAGGAAGTATATGAATAGTCACAGTAGGTGGGAAAATGAGAATTATGCAGACAGCATTTAACTTAGGACAGCTTTTGCTGCCTAATGGATTATTTTTAAAATGCTTAATTTCCAGAGCTCTCTAGATTTTGCAAATAACTGACTGGACCCGTGTTTAAAACATACCATAGCACAAGGCCAGTAGATGGTGTGGTGGTTAAGGTGCTGGATTCCCACATGGCTGAGTTCTTCCTTTTTGCCAAGACCTGAGGCCAAGGAATTTCCAGTGTTTCCTGGGGAGAGAGCCAGGTCAGGCTCCCAGCTCAAGTTCCTCACTTTCCCACACTGGGGCATCTCTTGAAGCTATTTGAAAGAGCTACACTGACCTCCCCCATTAAAATAGCCATGTCATCACGCTAGCAGCCCCACACCTGAGTGCCCGGAACTCTCTGAATGCTTTCTACACCAACTCCCTCAGTCTTCACAAAGCTGCAAGACATTGCTACCCTCAATGTGCAGATGAGGAAACTCAGGCACGACTGAGATAACTTGCTGGGAAACGAGTCTGGCAGCAGAGTCCATCCTGAGGAGACAGAGGAAGGGCGGGCTGTCATGGGGCCTCACCTGATGGGGCTGATGGGGGACTGGAAGGCCTTCCTTTCACGCTCCGGCAAGGGCTCCCAGTGGAAATCGAGCTTCCAGTCCAACACCCCGCGCTGCAGGTCCCTGGAGGGGTAGTACTGGAGAGTCTTCCAGTCTATCACGTCTATGACAGGAGACACCACCCTGCTCCTGGAGAGAATCGTGAAAGCACACAAGCTGTACCACCACTCACCAGCAGGGGCAGGAGCATGGTCTACTCAGGCTGCCCAAGATGGCAGCCAGGCACTCATACCCGTTGGGCACCTGAAGTCTAGTTTGTGCAAATGGAGATGTGGGTAAGTGTAAAGCACACACGGGAGGGGCCAGCAGGTGGTGTGATGGTTAAGGTGCTGTATGCCCACATGGCAGACCACAGTTCGAATCCCAGGCCCAGTGGTTTGAAAATCATGCTGGGCATGTATGTGTGCATGCCTAGGATCCCAAGAGGAACATGGAGGAGAAAGGATTGTGATGTGTCCATCCCTCAGAGGAGAAAGGATTGTGATGTGGCCATCCCTCATTCTCACTTACCCTCTCTCTGTCTCTCCCAGTGAGCACACACACGCTACGGCAAAAATAAATAAATAAATAAATAAATAAATAAATAAATAAATAAATAAATAAATAAATAAATAAATAAATAAATAAATAAATAAATAAATAAATAAATAAATAAATAAATAAATAAATAAAGTATACACTGAATTCAGAGACCTTGATATATATGTATATATGTATATATATCAAAGCCGTTGGGGCCAGCAGCAGATGGCATGGCAGTTACATCGCTGGACTCCCATATGGCCAACTGCAGTTTGAGTCCTGGACCTAGTGGCTTTATACAACCCGGGCACATGTGCGTACATGCCCAAGATCCCAAAAGGAGACTGGAGGCAAGGGTTTGTGACCTGGCCATTCCCCCTGGGGGTGATTTCTCACTTTCTCTCTCATTGTCTCTGTCTCTCTAGCAAGTGCATGCACCCTAAGGCAAAAATCTCTAAAAAGAAAGAAAAAAAAGTTGTAAAAAATTCAATAATTTTTAAATTAAATACATGTTCCAATAACAGTATTTTGTTATACCAAGCTAACTAAAATATATTATTAAAATTAATTTCATCTGTCTCTTTTTAGTTTGTAATGTGACTAAGAGTTTAAGGTTTTCTACGCGGCTCGTGCTGTGTTTCCGTGGTGCAGCACTATCCCAGAGAATGTTTTCCACAGGAATCGGGACTCATTTCACTGAAGAGCAGGTCGCGGGCTAGTCCCCAGCCTAGTGGGTACAGGAGCTGAGCCCCCGTGGGCAGCTGTGCAGCTCAAACTCCCACCCTGGAGACCTGAAATCACACCAGGCGTGTGTGTGCGCCTGTGTGTGTGCATGTGTGCTCTCAGTCCCGACAGGATGGAGAAATGAAGAGTTAACCGCGGCGTACACACCCCTGTGCAGGCCTTCCTCCTCTGCTGCTCTCTCTCTCTGGCCAGCACTCATGTCCTCTGCTTATAAATAAAACCAACAAACAGAAGCGGCATGTGGGCCTCATTCTTTCTCTGGAAACCTCCTTGACAGCACTGAGAATGGAGTTCGAGGCTTAGCTCCTCCACTAATGATCTTAAGGTAATGTTATACCTCTCTGGGCCTCACTTCCCTCTTTCTAAAATGAGGATGAAACTACTTCCCACAGAGATCTTTTTCTCTTTCCTTTTAAAAAACATTTTGCTGGAGTCTGCATGCATTTGATGGCAGGAGACAGGGGTGAGGGAGGAGTGAGAATCGCCCTTCATGGGGAGTGGTCACAACACAACCTTCTCCTCGGGGATTTCAGGCACACGTGCACATGGGCCCAGCGTGTTTCTCCAGCTGCCATGTCCAGGATTCGAACTGCACACTTGGCCATGTGCGATCTAGCTGCCTTAATCACCCAGCTACTGTTGACCTGGGTCTTTTTCACTGTAATGCTCTAGGACTGTGACTCTTAACTTTGGTGGAGGGGGAAGGAGCTTTGGATCCCCTTGGGAATCAGGGAAAACTATAGACCTTCCTTGAAAAAATACTACTGACATGCACACGTATGAAATACTGTGCTGCGCACCGTTGCCGAGCGGTCGGGGATCCCTGGTCCCCCAGGCCTAGTTCTCGCTCCTCCTCGTGTCACAAAGCTGGATTGGGTAAGGGATCAGGATTGTCAAGCCAGGCGGTGTCCCTGGGGTAACGCACATCCACGTGAGCACGTGGTGTTCGAGCAAGCCGAAGTCTAGCATCTGTGTGTCCCTGCCCTGCTGGGGACTGGGTTTTCTGCCAGCTCCCCCCGACACACACAGCCTGTAGACAGGGCCTCGGAGAGACCTACGCGGGAAATGGGGGCTCTGTCTTTGATTAAACGGGTAGTCGGGTGTGGCAGCAGCTGGTCCCCTCCCAGGCAATACCTCGGTCTTTTTTTTTTTATTTTCTGGCATCTCTCGATAAAGTCTGTGCATGGGATGGACCGGGCCTGACGTGGAGGGTGGTCGGGAGGTGCCACTCAGAGAAGCACGACCCCCGGGACGAGACCGCAGCCTCGCTGTTCACACTCCTATCTGTTTGCATCTTGGATCCACCCACTTCGGAGGCAGCCAGGCCAGAGTGAGCCCAGGTCACGCGGAGAGAGCCAGGGTGGCCCTGAATTCAATTCTGCTCTACTCCGTGGCCTTGAGGGACCGAGGTTAGAGCAAGTCTATACCTAGACCCAGGACGCGGCTTGCTTCTCCTTTCTCTCGGTTCCTCCGGGAGGGCAAGGGGAACCTCATCCCTCTGGGCCTCCGCTAGTTTTGGACTCCCTGTGTTGACCTAGAACTGAGAAGCAAGACGAGGAGGAAAGGACACCAGACCCCTCCCAAGTCACCGGTCCCTGCGGAATGACCCCGCGATGGGATGGATCTGACTACTGGCCAAGCGTCTGGGGGCTTCAGGCTCACGCCCCGGGGAAGCCCATGGCTGACTTCAGGGGAGGCGCATCCACTCGAGCTGTCATCAGAGACCAGGACCCTCGAGAAAGGGAACGGCGCTCTGGCCTCTGCAGTCGGCGGTCCCAGACATCCGTGCTGCGTACTTCTCGACGAAGGTGTACATGGATCTTTTCTTTTATAACCAGAAAAACAAGATCCAGCTTTCATCCACTCTACCATTCATCACATTTCTCATTTCGGCCGTCTTTCTGGAAGCTCAGACTTTCGCGAGCATCTTCTGCGAGGTGCACTCCCTGCCTCCAGCACCCTCTCCTTCCCCACGCCTTCCTTCCCCTCTGCATTAAGTGGGTAAGTGAGTGATTAATCATGGCCGTCCGAGTACGTGGGCTAGCAATGAAGAGTAAAACGTCAGGGAGCGACGCGGGAGAGCTTTCCTGTGTCACCACAGCGACCGTCTCAGCAGGTCAGTAACCGCGGTCTCGTGGCTGGAAAGGCGAGGGAAGGACAGCCAACACCCCAGTGTGACGTTTAGCCTTCGTACCTACAGACGTGTCTGTTACTCTTGGAAATTCACGTGCAAGCACAACAGCAAAGCTACCCGTGTGACCTGGAAGAGACACTTGGACTGGCTCTGCTGCCTGGAAGGGAGGGCGGCCGGACCCCGCATGGCCGACCTGCAGTTGGAGTCCCAGACCCAGCTGTGGCTTAAGGAACACTCAGGCGTGTGTGTGGGTGTGTGTGTATGCACCCAAAATCCCAAGAGGAGGGAGCGAGCAGAATGAGCATGCCCTTCATGGGAAGTGCTTCTCCCTCTGCCTTCCTCTCTGTCTCTGGTCTCTCCGGTGAGCGCACACCCTCCAGCAAACCAGCAGCAAGCACGTTCAAGCACCTGCAGGTCCCAAAGCACAGCCACTCTGAATGGCAGGCCTCGGGCACCGTTTCGAAGAGCGGAGGCACGACCCTTCCACTTGGAGCACCGCAGACCCCGGGGTTGGCTACCTGTCACCGGCGATTCTGCCGAGGAGGGGCTCCAGCCAGCCGGGGTGGCACTCGCAGTGGGCGTCCATGAAGACCAGCACGTCCCCCGCAGCTCTGGTGGCCCCCAGCATCCGGGCCTTCACGGCCCCCAGCCTCTTGTTGCTTCTGAGCAGCTTCACACCCTCCAGCCGGGCCACGTGCTCGCTGAGAGCAGACTTGAGCTGTCCTGGAACCGACAGGGCTGTGGTCAGTGAGGTGACGCAGTGAGGTGGAAAAGAGCCTTAGGCCGGAAGGCCGGGAAGGATGCGAGAAACTCTTTGGGTTTCTGCACGACGCGCCTGGCCCAGGACCGAGGCGGCAGTGGGCACCATGACACAGCCATCCTCTTAATGCGCTTCCCACTCCACCCTCTTCCAAGGGACCTGCCCGGGACCCAGCCTGCCCGAGGGAGCCTGGAGGACAGGTGGGCACCTTGCTCACTGAGGTCGTCCACGAGGATGATCTCCTTCAGGAAGGCCCTGGGCGCTGTGCGGAGGATGCTGTGCACAGTCCTGAGGAGGGCGGGCCAGTCCTCGCCGTGGAAAGAGAGGATGACGCTGGCCGTGGGCAGGCCGTCCCCAGGCTGCTGCTGCAGGCACCTGCAGGGGAGAGAAGCAGGAGCCGTGGGCAAGAGAGGCCATGAGGAACACCCGCCACCCCTTCTTCGTTCCTTGTCTTCTTCAGCTTGCTACGGGGCACGCGTTCTTGCCAGAGACAGGGAGACAGGAAAGTGAGAAATTCTCCCCAGGGTTGACAGGCACGCTCCAAGCCCCTCTCCTCCATTCTCCCATTGGGATTTGGGGCATGCACATTCATCTACCTGGGATGTTTTTCAACCTTCTGTGCCCAGGACCCGAACCATGGGACTGGCCATATGGGATCCAGCTGCTGAACAATCACACCATGTGGGTGCAGCCGCTGAACCATCACACCATGTGGGTGCCCCCCCCACTCTCCCTGGCCCTGGTGGGTGGTTCCCAGCATGTGGCTCTCCCAGCAGCCCAAGGGCCAGCACTCCTTGGGTTTTCTCAGAACTTCTGTGTAAAGCAACCCCACTACCCCTCAGCAGTGCCGTCCTCGCTCCCTCGACCCCCACGCATACCAGCTCTTGTACCGTATTTAACCCATGCCCCTTGTCACCATTGAGGCGTCGCCACCGTCCTCGGTAGACACATCCTCATCTGTACAGTGGGACGCTGACGTCGCCAGCCTCACGGAGCTCGGGCCCGTGTCCTAGGGCCTCCAGTCGGCACGCATCCAAGGGCAGGGACTATTTCAGTTATGTTTTGTTTTACTCACGCTCCGACCTAGTACAGCACAACGCACAATGAACACCAGCTCTCTGTGAGCCCCGCTGAAGGGGCAGGTGGGACCTGCGTGAGCATGAACGGCAGGCCGGACTCTGCCTGGGTGCTCTATACATGGACTGACACGCTCCGTGGCCTGTCGTGGCTGATCTAAGTCATGAGAGCGATGTTTGCAAGGTTTATCGTGTGTGGCATGTGTCTCACCCTTTTCATTGCAGAATGATTTTCCACGTGTAACAATGCCATGTTTTGTTTATCCATTCATAAGATGAGGAAAATTTGGGTCGTTTCCACGTTTTGGCTATTACGGCTAATGTTACGTGTTTTGACGTGTACATGTTTGTGTGAACACGTATGTTTAGCTGTCGGGTATATACCTACGATTGGCATGGCTGGGTCATAGGGTCGCTTCACAGTGGACATTTTGAGGGACTGCCAAACCATCTCCTAAAGCAGTAGCACCACTTCCCTGCCCCACGGCACCGTACGAGAGTTCTAATCCCGCCGCACCCTTGCCAGCACCCGTTACTGTCCCTTTTCATCTCAGCCATCCCTTCGGAAACGAGATGGTGTCTCCTTGCGGTTTTGATTTGCATTTCCTCACTGACGACCTGAACGTGTCATGTGAGATTGGCCGTTTCTACGTCTGACTGGGAGAAACGTGTATTCAAATCATTTGCCCATTAAATCGGTTGCCTTTTTTTATTGTTGGGTTCTCAGGGTCCTTTTTATTTATTTTTTATTTATTGTCCTTCACTGTAATATCATATACCTCTCCCATGAAGTTTTAGATCTTGTGCATATTTTAGCAAGCAACATGGGGGACTCAATCGGACGACTGCAGACTTTGGGAACAGAGGTGCAGCCCGCAAAGCGTGGTCTGGGACCTGACAGGGCTGGTCTCTCTGCACCTTGGCCTGCTGAAGGAGACCACATTCTTTTTATTTATTTATTTTACCATTTATTTATTTATTTCTCGAGAGAGTTTTTTGCTATAGGGCACATGTGCTTGCCAGAGACACAGAGAGTCAGAAAGTGAGAATTACCCCCCAGGGGGATGGTCACACTGCAATCTCTTCTCCTCCATTCTCCTCTGGGGATCTTGGACACACACACACACGTGCTCGGTGTGCGTTTAAAATAACCCGGTCCGGGACTTAAACTGCCGTCAACTATATGGCGTCCAGCAACTTAACCATTACGCCATCTGCTGGCCCCAAGGAGGCTGCATTCTACCAGGACACCCAGGTGACCTATGTCCCAATCCAGTTGCAGAGCAGTGCTCTGGCCAACCTGGGAGGCGTGACGAGCTGCTCAGGGCAGGGCTTGCAGAGTGTTCCCAGCTCGTGGCAGGAGCAGCAGAACCCAGGAGCTTGCAGACCCCGGATGTGTGGCTCCACTGCGGACCCCCTGTGTCAGACTCTAGGAGCGGGGGCCGGGCTTTTTCTGTTTTCCCATAAGTCATGTGCACATGCCAGAGAGAGAGACAGAGAGAGAGGGAACGTGAGAAATCACCTCCCTGGGCGTGGGGTGGTAGATGGCCACACCATTATCCCTTCTCCTCTGTTCTCCTCTTGGGATTTCGGACATACACCTACACATGTCTGACATGATTTTCAAGCACCAGGTTGAAACTTGAACCGTGGTCGGCCATGTGGGAGTCCAGCACCTTAACCACCAGGATACCTGTTGGCCCCAGGCATCTCCATTTAAACAAGCCCTCCAGACATTCTGATGGAGCCACTGCCCTAGGCACGAAGAGGACAAAGCACTTGCTCTCACCGTGCCTCCTTAATGCAGGAGCCATTGCCCCCATGACCCAGAGGGATGGAGGGGAGCCACAGCAGGCGGCAGGTGGAGGCTGCGGATGCCAGGCTCCCCAGCCCTGTGGGAAAGCAGTGCAGGGCTGCAGGGTAGGCGCTGGACACTGCTGTCCTGCTGTCCTCTCACCTGGCTGCAAAGGGGCGGGAGGAGAGGCCTGGAGGGAGGGTAGGGCTCGTTGCTTGGCTTTGCAGGGGCTCCCGCGCGTCCAGGAGAGGTGTGAGAAAGGGGAGCGTCAGCGCCAGAGCTGCGGATGGACACGGAGTCCTGGGCCAGGGTCTGGGGCGCACCCGCCGCACGCGCAGGCCGGGGCCAGCAGAGGGCGCAGCACACCTCCCCCCGAAGCCGGCGGGCCTGAGCGAACTGGAGAGCGGGGTGGAGCCCGACGTCCGCCTCTCCGGGGGGCTGAGAGGTTTTCCCGCTGCCGCTGCCGCTGCCTGGGACTTTCAGACCAGGGAGTCCAAGCAAACTAAGCCGGTTTGGTTACAACGGTGGGCAGAAGCCACCGCCGAAGTGGTGCACACACACAGGAGAACATGCGTGTGCACATCAAACGCATGGCACAGAATGTGCCCGGACTTGCGTCTCACACTGCACATCACACACCACATGTCACAGCACATGAGTGAACACACCTAACATGTCTGCACACATACACGTGTGCAAGTCAGATGATGGACAACACACCTATTACACACATGCAGCCTAGCACGCAACACACACAAGTACATGTGCACACACCTACTACACAAACATGAAGCAAACACTGTATCACAGCACACACACGCACACAGCGCAAGCATGGTGTGTGTGCACATGCACAACACATGTAATCCACACATGCATCACACCCATGCACACCATACACAGCACACACGTGCACATATGCATAGTATGCATGCACATGCCCCAGCATTCACCCACACTTGTAGCACAACACACATGTGTGTGTCATTCCACATGCAGAGTACAGTATACCTGCTCACATACACATGTACCACAACACATGCAGCACCCTTCAAAATACACACAAGAGCACATCATACACGTAACGCAGTCACAGGACAACACACGTGCACACATGCAGCACACAAACAGACAAAACAGTCACCACGTGGCCATACGTATGCACATGCATGCACCATGCATGAGCACATCACCCTAATGTGTAGCATACACAATACACATGTGTATCACACACTTCACAGACACAGCACGGTACATGCACACATAACACACCACATCGCTCATACCTGTGTGCATCACACCACGTGCAAACATGTGTGCATGCTGAGCACACAGGTACTTCATAATGACCACACCCATCTACGATACACTACACGTGTGTCCACCATCCACCCACACGACACGACGCACAGAGTGTGTGCTGCACATGCACGCACACTGCACTCACAGCCATGCTCTAGGAAAATGAAAAACGTATCCAACTGGGAATGACCGTGTGTATGTTTTACTGTGTGGGGGTCACTGGGCTACACCGCACAGACTAAGGCTGCTTTTCTGTGGGGCTTGCAGAGCGGGGAGGCAAGCAGTAAACACACTAATACATGGGTGACACTCAGCTTTGGTAGCCTAGGTACTGAGTTTTAATTCCGGGGTGCAGACAGAGCAAACCTGGAAGACAGTGGGATTTCCTGAAGAGTCTTGGAAGACAAGGCTGGAGTCGGAATGGCAGGGCTGGGCCTCCGGACTGCGGAGTGAGGCCCCCGGCACACGGCTGGAGGCCCGCGCTGGCAGGACAATGAACGCAGTGACCGAGGAGCCAAGGGGGAGTACGCGGCCTGCCCCCAACTGCTGCTACACACGGAGCAGCTCACCCAAGGTCGGAGGACGCGTTTGCTTTCCAGGAAGTCTGAGTGCAGGAGCCGAGAGCACGCAGACTAACCGGGTGACCCGGTCGGCCATGATGATAGGCGGGTGGGCAGGGGCACGGGGGTGGGGGGGAGCCTGTCCTCTCCCTGGCTCCACTCTGCATGCCCTGCACACTTGCCAGCCTCCGTCCTCAGTGTGGGACTGCCCTGCCGGTTAGTACTCTAGATCTTGGGTGCTAGAATCGCCCCCCAGCCTGGTGAATGGGGGACAGAGAGGGGTGTCCAGGCAGACCACAGCGTGGATGCCTGCAGCCGGACCCCTGCTTCGGCCTCTGCTCGCCGTGTGACTGTGGGCAGCCATGTGGCTTACTTTCCCAGTGATAAACAGCCCTGAGGGTAATGACTGCCATCCTAGGGGGGGTAAAACTTGGCGGGACTTCATGAACTAGTACACGAGGGTCTCCCAGATTACAGCCAGTCACATGGCCGGAGTCAGGAGCGCGCGTGGCAATGACTCTGGTCCAAAAGGAAGGCAAAGACGACGAGAACCCTCAGATAGCAAATGTGCAGACACCTGCTCCAACCTGCCTCCTGTGGGTCTCAGCTGGCGCGGCTGGCCCAGTCAGAGGGGGCCTAGAACCCAGGACAGCAGAGGACGAGCAAATAGGCGCTCCTTACTTCCCATCAGAGGGTTTAGTGGAGACCCCGGCCCCGCCCAGGGTGTCCGATTCAGCGGGTCTGGGGTGGACGCTGAGGCTGCTTCCTCACAGGTGCTCAGGTAACAATGATGCCACTCGTCCAGGGACCACAAGGCCACAAGAAGCACCACCCAAGGACAAGGCAGGAGAGCGCAGGAGGGCTCATCCCACGTTGGCTGCCACCTGACACGCCCCAACTCCAGGGAAGGGAAGCAGGGGCCTTACTTACAGTGGGTGTCGCACCTCGGGCAGGGCCCTCTGCAGGGGGCTGCGGGCACTGAGCTCCCCGTGGAGGCCCAGTGGGTCCAGGCCGAGCCGGGTCAGCTCCTCCTCCTCAGCCCCCCAGTCGCTCTCCGGAGCCCCCTCATCCTTCCTCCTGCCCAGCTGCTTGACGAGCTGGTAGCTGCCCGCTCTCCTGCCCTGGCTCTGGTTCCCTCTGGCCCGGGGTGACACCACGGCCACCAGCAGCTGATCTTCCTGCAGCGCGAGAAGGGATGGCAGGCCCTCCAGGGTCCCGTACTCCGTGTCCTCATCCTCGGCCTCCAGTACCCATTCCTGGGGTTCCCCGAAGTCCAGACGGTACCCTGCCTCAGGGTGGTGCCTGCTGGCCTGGGCTGTGCCGGCCTGGCGCAGGTGGCGGGGGGCAGGACGCAGCATGGCCACCATCGCCAGGGCACACCCCAGCGTCAGGACCAGTAGGCAGCACTGGAGCCTGCAAAGCCCGGGCCGGGGCCGCTTCCTCAGGAGCATGCTGCCAGGGCTAGCCGAACGCGACAGGTCATGCTCACGGCCGCTTCCCTGGGGCCCAGTTCCTCCAGCGGTGGCTCCACCTGGAAGGCGTCGCTTGTCACTCAGCCGGCCTTTCCCACCTGACGTTGGCCAGCAGCCTTGAGACCTGCTTCCACTGCGCCGAGACAACAGACCTTCTCCAGGGATAGCCTTACTTGCGTGCTGAAATCCCACCTGCGGGGACTCCACACCGAGCTGCAGTTGCATGTCCCCCTGGCCCCCAGGGCTTCTCCCTGGGAAAAGACAGCGATTCCATCCGGCTCAGGTGTCCATCCGGCGCTTCCTCTCCCATCTTGCAGAGCGAGCGGGTTGGTGGGCTGCTGCGGCGTGGCTGGGGGAGCTGGGAGGTCCCGGGCGAGCAGAGTAGGAGAGTCGGTCTGATCAGATGTCAGCCAGCGGTGGTGGTATGGTGCGGGACTTTCTTCCCACAGCCGCTCAGCCTCGGAGCTCCCCAGACCCCAGCCAGCGGAGCCTGGCTCCCCGCGCCCGGTCCTAATGCCCTCACTATTCCCCGGCTTTGCAGGAGGGCAGGTCACCGCCAGAACAGTCGGGTCCCGGCGTTCCGCGCCACTCTGGTTGGCAGGACGATTCTTTCCCAACTCTGGAGCAGGGAGGAGCTCTCCCTCCTGGCTCAGAAAGGCTGAGCGAGTGACCGTGATGCAAGGAACTGGCTGTTATCCACGGGCACCTTGGCCTCCCTCGCGGGACCTGCCAAGCTAGACCCGGCTCCCCGAAAACAGGCTGTGGGAGGAGACCTCGCCAAGCACCTCCCGAATCCACGGGAGTAATGAATGCCTCCTGGGCGCTGGGCGCTGGGCGGCCACCAGGGGGCTCCCGGAGGCGGCACGGTGAGCAACTGCCTGCAGTCAGCCCGCACGTTTCCGATGCACATTGGATATGGGTCCCCACTGTCGGGGCCTGCGAGCGCGGCCATGAATGAAGCGGGCTGGAGTGTGCACCCCATGGAGCTCAGATTCTACGGGGAGAAAGAGAGAGAATTGATCAGAGTGTGTAGGGGCAGGTGATGAGCTGGGCCAGGAAACAGCCAGGAGGAGGCTGGGCGGGGATTCGGAGGGGGCTCCACAGGAGTCAGCCCTTGAGTCCGGGAGGGGTGCACAGCTCCCCGGGGCTGGGTGTGCAGGTGGAAGGACACACGTGAAGGCTCGGGCCGGGACGTGTCTGGCATGTCGGAGGAAGAGCCCGGCCTGCAGCTGGAGAGGGCGAGGTGGGCACAGCATGATGGGGAATGGGATGAGAGCGGTAAGAGGCGTGGGGTCATGCAGGGCATCCCTCGGAGGGCGTCGCAGGGATTCTGGCGTTTCCTCTGAGTGAGATGGAAGCCCTCAGAGGGCTGTGGCAGAAGAGGCACACCAGACTCCAGTCTTAACTGGCTCAGCTGCAGGGTTGAGATTAGCCACTGGGCAGCAACAGGATGACCAACTCACATGTTCTTTTATTGAAATTACTTATTTAATTTTATTTATTATTATTCAATTTGACCAGAGAAATATGGGGGTGGGGGGTGGGGAGAGGAGTGAGAAAGCAAGTCGCCAGGTCTGGGACTCAAACCGCAGGTGGCCATGTGAGACAGTGCCTTAACCACCATGCCACCTGCCAGCCCCCAAGTGGCATCAGTGGAGGTGGCGACAAGAGGGCAGCTTCTCATTTATTTTAAGAAGGAGCCTCTAGGGCTTACAGATCAATTGACACCTGCGCTGAGAGACAGAGAAGGTCAGGAATGACTTCCAGGGCCTGGCCTTGGCGTTGAAGAACAGTTGTAATCCACCGGGGGAGGGGCAAGGAGCAGGTGGAAGATGAACACCCACGGCTCCGTGTGGAGCACGAGGCATTCGTACGTGCGTACAGCAGGAACCAGAGGGAGCTGGAAGTCAGTCGGGGGTCTGGCTGCAGGTGCACAGCTGGATGCCAGGGCACACAGATCGCTCTCAAGTCAGGAGCCCAGAGATGGCCGAGGTATGAGGCAGAGGAGCCACCCAGCGTGCTCGGAGGCCTCGCTCTTCCTTTTTTTTTGGGGCTGGCTGTCACTGCTGACTCTGTTCCTTCTAACGCAATGAGGCAGCAGCCCTGCACGGGGCTTGCTCATCGCTAGGGTTTTGTCGCTCGTTGTTATAAGGAGGTGCCTGTGCTCACTGGCCAGACAGAGAGGGAGCAGGGAAGTGAGAAAGCACCCCACCCCGGGGAGATGGCCTGGCACAATCGCTCCTCTTCCATTCTCCTCCTGAGATCTTGGGCATGCACACGCACACACGCCCAGTGTGTTTTTAAGCCACAGGGTCTGGGACTCGAACTGTGCAATAGATCATGTGGGATCCGGTGCCTTAGCCTCCATGCCAGCAGTTGGTTTTATTTCGATCTTAGAATATAAGCTTAACGAGGTCATTGCTTCTCCCGTGTGCACATGCATGCCTGTGTTCCCCGAGGTCGGTCGGTTGTTCTCACTGCCTAGGGCAGAGTCCCTGTGGTGGCACTTGGGACTCCCTGGGTTGGGTCGCATCTCCAGAGCCCCAATCAGGGTGCACTGGAACAGAGAGTGGGGCCTGTTCAGCAAGCAGGCCCCCTGGGAGATGCAGCTCAGAACTCTTGGACACGTGTGGCCAGTGGGCGTGGTGGGAGAGGAGGTCGGGAAGCCAGGTGGCTTTCGGAAACCAGAATGCATGGTCCCCATCCTCGGAGGCAGAGCCTTCCCCCGCCCCTCTGGAACACTGGCCTCGAATGCACCAGGAACATCCCACCTCTGGGATTACCCTGGCCGCCCTGTTGCTGGGTCCCTCTCCCCAGAAACCCACCCGCATAGCGCAGTTCCCTTCCTCCAGTGTCATCTACTCCATGTGGCCTCCGGGTAACCCGCCCACCCTCTCTATCCTCTCTGCCTTGTTTCTGCTTTTTTGTTTTGGTTTAGAGTTTTTTTTTTTTTTTTTCTGCTGTAGGGTGCATGCACTCACCAGAGAGACAGAGAAACAGAGAGACAGAAGTCACCCCCCAGAGGTGATGATCACATCGCAATCCCTTCCTCTCCATTCTCCTTTTGGGATTTTGGCACGCGCGCGCACGCACACACACACACACACACACACACCTGGTGTGTTTTGAGCCGCCTGGTCTGGGACTTGAACCACAGGTGACGATGTGTGAGTTCAGCGACGTAACCATGGCGTCCTGCTCTCAGTGTTCTTTAAGAATCTCTGGCTCTCCTCACACCTAATAGGTTAAAATACTCAGTGTTGTTTGTTTTGGGAGAGGTTTTTGCTATAGGGCGCGTGCGCTCACCAGAAAAACAGAGAGACAGAAAGCGGGAAATCACCCCTCAGTGGGAATGGCCACACTGCAATCTCTTCCATTCTCTTCTCAGGATTTTGGGAGTGTACATACATGTGCCCAGCGTGATTTTCAAGCTGGAGTCTGGGACGCGAACCCCAGAGTCAGTCATGTGGGATCTGGTTGCCTCTACCTCCATGCCACCATGGCTGCCCTCAAGCAAATAAAATTTTGGGTACTCCAAAATGAACATAGTCACCTCCGAAATGCTTCCTCTGGTCCACACTGCTAGCGGGTCTCAGGGTTGGGACAGATTGTCTCGGGATGACCACAGGGAGGGGCTGGTCCTCCTGCCCGTGGCTCTGAGCCCTGTGAAGCCTCTGGGAAATCCGTTCATTTCTAATTTCTTCTAGTGGGCCCCTGAAGGACCAGTACAGTGTTAAAGAAAGAGTCCCAGTCACAGACAACATAGCAGGTGCTGCCCTCTGACACGGCCCGGCCCCGGACTCCCACAAGTCCCAGGCTTTCAGAGTCGCCCCAGGCCGGAGGGAGCAGGAGGCTTTCCTAACTCTGGGCCCCAGGCCAGCTCCCCCCTTGGATGCTGTCTGCCCCTCAGTCCTGGCCCTCGGGGCCGCTACTTTGCTGTCCGGTGCCTTCTCTCAGCGTGGTCCTCCCCAACACCCAGACGTCAGCGAACCATGCTCAGTCTGCAGCCGTCTTTGAGCTGCTGTCCTCCTGTCTCTGTACTTTCCTCCTCCCTGTCCTTTTAGGAAAAAGGGAACATCAAGAGAGCCATGGCGGCTCCAACCCAACACGAAACCCTCTGCGTGTCTGCCTTACTCCTCTCGGCTCCCAGGAGCCCTTCTGCAGCCACGGACCGAGCCTAAGGGGTGCTCAGCCCGCCCTGGGCTCTTCGGAGAGAATGTCCTGGACATAGCCCGGTGGTCCCGCCCTTCCCTTCCCGCCTCGCCTGTGCGAGCCCCAGACCCTGCTCGCTCTTCCTCTTTCCATTGCTGCTCCTTCTAAGGGTTGAGTGCATCCTCCTAAGAGGTGTTGACTCCTACCTCCTCCTAGTACCTAGGCATGGGACCTTCACAGGAAATAGTTGTTTTTGAAGATGATCAAGGTACGACGAGGCCATTAAGGTAGGTCCTGACTGAACACGGCTGGTGTCCTCACGGGAAGAAAAAGCGTGGGCACAGGTACACCTCAGGAGAGCGCCACTGCTGAGGCAGGCAGAGACAGCAGGGGTGCGGCAACAAGCCCAGGAAGGCCCAGGGTTGCCAGCCATGGCCAGAAGCCAGGCAGGCCCTCTCAGCCCTAGGAAGGATCCTTTCCCCTCAGGCTTCTGAACCCTAGAACTATAGACTGCAGGTCTGTTGTCCAAGTCACTCAACAGGATACTTTGTTCTGGTGGCCCCAGGACACTGCCACGCCCGCCCCCTTCCCCTCTGTCCTTCCATTTTCTTCTCCATTGCACCTCTTCCCTGTGGCACACCAGCTCCTCAGCCCAGAGTCCTGAGCCTGGTCTTTCCATGATGGAGTTAGCCGGTTTGAGTTCCAGGGATCTTGAAAGGTCTGAGAGAGCTAAGAGGACTGTGTCCCTGCCTTTCATTGTCCCTCTAGTTCTGACAATCAAGGGCTACTCCCCGTAGAGAAGGCAGGGTGAGTGTTCCAGCCTCTGTACTCAGGTTACATGGTTAGCTCCTGTGTGTGTGTGTGTGCATGTGTGCATGTGTGTGCATTTGTAGTACACATTTGAACTACACTGCTGTGTAAGTACAACGACTGGACGTGACACTAAAGAGATTGAAGATGATGCCAAACTTTGGAGACTGTCTCTGGGAGAGAAATAAGATGGATGAGAGTGCATTTTGAGTGAGTGCCAATCTAGTAGGTACCTAAACTATTATTTTGGAAAAGCACTGTGAAGCTCTACGCGGTATATTTTCATTGGACTGTACCCTTTCATTCTGCAAATATCCATGGAATATCTACTATGGACGAAGCATGATGCTTGGCATGAGAAACAAAAAGATGATTAAGATGTGGTTAGTAAGGTCCCCAGATAATTAGACCCACCTAGTGTGCAGAAAGCAACCACAGAGATGTGTACTAAGTAATACTTGGGTAAATACGAAGAGAACAGAATAAAATGTATATTCCTGACATTTCTCCAAATCTGGAGATGAGCAACAAAATGCAGCTAGCTTTTCCACCTCTTGACAGGCTGTAAGATCTGAGAGGAATCTTACGTTCTTGGCATCTGCTGGTGCCGTGACTTCAAAAGGCATATTAGTAGTGTGTTAATAATGAATTAAAGCCAAATTGATCCCAGCTTTGAGGATGCCACTATCAAAGCTTCACATTGGTTCCATTAGACATAGATAAGGCTAAGAAGGAATTGACAAAGGGAGACTTTGCGGGAGGAGGATAACCCTGCTATGGCTGATTAAGACTTTACAGCGCCTGTTTACATTAGGTCTGTGACCCATGCAAAGTGGGTCTAGAAGAAAATTACTTTGTCTTTCATCTTAACCCGGGTGTTCTGATCATAGGGAGAGTTCTCTCATTATGAGCCTGGCTCCTAGAGCTTTTGTTAACAGAGGTTCAGAAAAATGGGTAGAAAGAGACTGAACCAAAGAGGCATGGGGGAAGGGAATAAATTCTGCTTGTGTCAGTT